TTTGCGGCATAAAAATGCGGACTTATCTTTGAGCGCTTTGTGTTGTCTTGACTTTTAGCACGTAATTATCTTGAAGTTTGCGCCCACACCGACAACGACGAGAACAACTAACGGCGAACGGGGCGAACAACGAACAGCCAACAACCAGCAGGTAACACATGAGGGCCAAAAAAGACGGCTCGCGGCTTTAATAACCATAAAAATGGCAGTCAATGCAGCTTAAGGCCGAAAATGCCAGGCGCGCGAGGAGGAAAACCGAAATGATTGTTGGGCGCACAAAGTAAGCCATAAAAAATATTTAACACACCCTCGGACAAAGCTGTTAACAGCATTGGAAATGCGTAGGATAAGGCCATAAAAAAACACCCATATCGAGTGTATATGTTGCATTTGCTGCGACAACTGGCGACGAGTTGTTGGCAATTTTTCTTCTTTTTTTGGTCTGCATCGGCGACAAACGACAATTAAAATGCAAACAAATTGAATTTGTGTGCGAAAGGTTTGGCTCTGAAGTATGGCTCTTTTGGCTAAGTGTTTTACGCCATAAACTCACAGCAAACGGCAACAAACAAGCGTGTTTGTTTGTTGTTTTCTTGTCGCACGCGTGCTCGCAACATTTTTGCGGCGAACGATTTGCGGCGAAAGTTGTTGGCGTTCCGTTATTTTAATTGCACCATGTTGCCCGGTAATTTGTCTGGCACTCGTAAATGTTGCGACGCTAATTGCCAGTGAACAAAAAAAAAAATATATTGGAAAAAATATAAAAAACAGCCCACAACAATGGTAACAACAACAATGTTGCCAACACACGTTTGGGTCGCCAGTTTTCCACACTTTTTCTATGGGTCCTAAAAACTGATTTTGTTGACGCTGAGCGTTAACGCCCAAAACCGCAGAATCCCAGGCCCCAAAAATACCACTCCACCTCTTCAGGAAAAACACCTCCTCCTTTGGCCCTTTCGGCCATGGACATTAACCTGTCAACGTGGCCAAGTTTGCAACACATTTAGTGGCCGGCCCGAAGGCGCAAGTTCAAATTGAAGTGCTAAGTACACTGTCGGAAAAATAGAAAAATGGAAATTTTATGTCTTAAATGACCATATTTTACATAATAGAGGTTAAGAATAGTAAAAAAATAAATAAGGATAAAATAACTGTGTTATAGAAAATATTTATTAATAAATTAAATTATGATATGGGATAGAAACGTTTTTTCCAGGATTTTACTTTTTAAAATTAATTATTACATTTAATTAGCCATTTTAAGTAGTACATTTGACATCATTGTTCCCCTACTTTATTGTCGTACTTCTATCCCTTAATTTTTTAGCAGTGCATCGTAACGCGCAGCAACTCCATCGCCGTTCCGTCCGCGGCTCTAATCTATAAGCAGTAATCAAATTTCAGCTCGCAGCTACCAACTTGCAGCGTACGTGGCCGCCACAGCCCGTAATTATGCAACACATGTTCAATGCAACAATTGGCCATAATTTAGTCAAAGGTAATTGAGTAAGCCCCGTCTCGAAAGCCCGGCTAACGCCAGGCCCCGGGTCCGCTCTATCATTATGCGGTCTCCAAGCTGCGCGACCAAGGAAAAGACAGACAAAGCCGGTCCCTCCCATCGGGTACGCACAGTAGTCGTAGTCCAGCTAAAAGTACAGGCCAACCTTGATTGACGACCACAATGAGGATTGAGTGATGGAGCGTCGCGATTCGCTGGTGCAGTGGGGTTCGGTGGTGCGGAAAGTCCTCGCATCCGAGGTGGTGGTTGCCACTGGGCGCCTGCTTGCCTTGTTTATTTATTTCTAGTTAGTCGCATTATCTTGCTGGACTGTTATTTAATTGTATGGCTCGATTGGATGAGCATCAAGCAGCCACCTGATTTAATGTGCACTGAAGAAAAATTTTTATGTGTTTCCTTCGCACAACATCCTAATTCAAATATAGCAGCAATATTGATTATTTGCTACAAAAATGAAAGATAATATAAACTTTTATTTTCAGGATTTTTATACTGGTTTAAAACTTTCTCAGTAAACTTTCATGATTTATTGTGAAAATTAAATATTATATAAATTAAATTTCGATCTTATTATAATATTCAATTTATTTTTGTTATATTCTTTTTAAACTAGTTTTAATGGTATTATAATTCTCATACTATATTTTCCAATATAAATATACTTTTAAAATAAGATTTAACTTTTCTAGAATTAAAATTTGACTTCCCAGTGTATCTCTCTGCCTCTAAAGAAATGTGGAAATTCTTGGTGCTGCGTCGTATCCTTCGCTCCATAATAGCTCCGGTTAATGATTGTGGCCAATGTGAGCTAAGCGCTTGGCTATCTGGTATCAAGGAAGATAGAAATTGTTCTTTAATTTGCGGAAATTGTTGGCAAAGTGCCGGCAAAAAAAATCGGACAAAAAGAGAAGGTTAAAGAGAAGTGAATATGTGGCACATTTAGTTCAATAATTTTGCATTTCCGCCGACAATTGGAATAAATATCACAAATCGGAGACCTGCGAAAAAATTTCCAAGCCACCCACACAGAAACGCCTTGGGCCGACCCACAGAACCGCCTTCCTATAGCCCGTATCTGGAATTTAGTATCTATAACCTTGCGCCGATTTTTCAAACAAACAAACACACACACATTTACACACAGAGAACATTGCTCAGCAATTTGGTTTGCAATTTTTGCGGTACAAAAATTATAAATTAAGTACTAATTACATGGACAACTACAACAACCATAAACAGCCAACGAGAAATCTTGGGAAAATCAAACGATTTGCCGCTTTTAATGTTCGCTGCGGCCACGCCCACCTAATGCCCAATGTGTGGGCGTTGCACTAATGAACACAGAAATCAAGAAAAAATGGAAATATCGAAACATTTTGTAACAAATGGAAAAAGAGACATGCACAGTAGAGCCAACGAAATACAAAAAACAGTGATAAATTAAAATATTAATTACAATTGTTTATATGTCAATATAGATAGTTTTTTATTTTCTGTCCCTTAATTAATATTAAATTGTTTAACATAAAAATGTAATATGCAAGTAACTTAATAATAAGCAATTAAATAAATATATAAAGAAAAATGTAATATTTATTTTAATGTTTTTAAAATGTTAAAAAAATTGTATTTAAATAATTATTCAATCTCCATTGAAATATATGTAAAAATACATATTTTACTGTATTGCAATGCTTGGATGCCACATTTGATTGGTCGTTGTTGCCGTTCGTTGTTGCTGTCTTGAATGGGTGATAAATTATTTCCCGCCATTTACATAAATGCTTTGAATGCATTAATTAAAGTCCAAATGCCCTGACTCCCTCTTGCTCTCTACCCGGCCTAAGTCCCACCCCCAGTAACGCCCCCTCCCAGAATATCTAAGACTGCAGTTGTCGATCTAATCAATTGTTTTTTATTATTGGGCCAGGCCCAGAGAAGCCATTATACCATTACGATTAGCGTATCGGCCTTATATGTGCGAGTATCTGTATCTTTTGTTCGGCGTCAACGGAGCTGCGTGTATCTGCATCTAGGGGATACGTATTCGTATGCATATAAGTATGTTGGCCGTTTTAAGTGGCTGCCGCCTAATTGTTCATAAAAGTCAACAGTCAATAGCTCTTTATGTTTGCGCTTGAAATTTATATTTATTTATTGTTATTTCTGTTCGCCAGTTTGGCTTTGCTGCAGCTTCATAATTTTTTTCGAGGCATTTTTGCCCGGTTTGGCTGTCTGTTTTTCGCATTCTGCAGTAGCCACTGGAAATGAGTTTTGTCTCTTTGAATTCCAAGGTCTGCCATTCTTTACAATTAGCAGCTAAATTTATGAGCGATTTCAATTTCAATGCGGTTGTTTGTTGCTTTTGCCTGGCCCGGCTGATCTCTCTCGTGGGCTAACGAGTTTCTGGCCAAAAGCCACTGCAGCAACGAATTCAAGAACAACAATGACAATCGTCTTAAATAACAAAGTCAAAGTCACTGACAGCATTTATAACTAATCAGAGCAAAGGGTCAATAAAAAATGCTAACGAATATATGTTATTATTTATTAAGAAAATACATGGAAATTATTTTTAAAATAATATAAGGTACTAAATTTATTTATAAAATAATTTACAAGTGTATAAGTTTTATTTAATTTCATTATTTTTTAATATACTCTCCAATATAATTCTCTATTGAGACAATGAAATGAATTTTCAAAAAATTTATAAGATACTATAAGAATTTTCTGAGTTTAGTGATCATCTTGCCCCATGAACAAGCCACATTTATCAGCGTTTAGATTCCACTTGGAATCACTCATTGTCACATACCATCTGGCTGACATAATTTTCTTAGATCACCGCCCAGTTTAGCGCCCATTTATGCAATCATGTAATTTTATTAACAATATCTATGACATTTAGCAATTGTTTGGTCACGTTAGAACTGCCGAAGCCAGACCGCAAACAATTACGTTTACGTGGTCGTGGTCAAAGGGGCAATTTGGTAGATGCTGCGATAAGCAGTACACATAAAGAAAAAGTGCATAGCTTACAACAGAGTCGAAAATCAGAATATAATATTATTAAAAAAGGTAAACAATTTTTATTCTCATTACATGCTTATGGATTTCTATAATTACTAGTTTTTGTAAAACAATTTATAGATTTTCTTTTTTCAATTTTAAGAGCTTTTATGAAGGTAATATGTTTGGACAGCTGAGACAAGTAAACTTGAATCAAATTATAAAAATATTGAAAACAATTTATTTGAATATTCTTGAGCATTAATGGATATTTCCCTCAGTGGTTTCACCCGCGCACGACTCGCTCTTGGACTTCGACTTTAACATCGCCTTTGACTTCCACTTTAACTCTAACTTATTGACAATGCAATGTAATTGTTTCCGATTAAGATCTTGACCAGGCCTTAAAACCGCAAAGTCTTTGTATCGAGGTTTTCAGTGTCCTTTTTTCGGGCTGGCCTGCATCATGTGTCGCTTGCAAATTCTTTTATTAATTATCCTGTGCTTAGGAAGATCCAAAGGCTGGTCAGCCAGGGAAGTTATACATCAGCTAAATGAAGATCAAAGACTACAACTTAATATTTACTTGGACTGCGGTGGCATCGAATTGCAAATAAGTCAGGATGTGCCCAACTTACTGCTAAGTAGTTCTCGGGAACAAAATAAAGTGTTGGGTAGATTCAGCTCTCGTTCTTTGATCATTGCCTGTCCTAAGGAAACCAAAGATAATCGAACTCTAAATGGAATAAAGGAACTTCTCTGGGGATTACAGTACTTGCCCATATTGTATATCGTAAATTCCAATATGGAATTTTATTTTCAAGAATCTTTAAACAGAGGATTTATTCATGTGCTGGCTCTGAATTTACGGAATGGAACGCTCCACACCTATACACCGTATCCCAAAGTTAAAATTCGCAATATAGATAATGTGGAGCAATTCTATGCCTTGAGAAAATTGAAAAATCTACAAGAACAGGTCGTGCACATTTCTGTGGAAACGATGACGCCCCGATGTTACCACTATACCAATCGTTATGGTGAAAAAGTCTATGCTGGTTATATGTACAGGATGCTAAAAGGATTTATTGAAACCTACAATGGCACTGAGAAGCATGTTTTTGGGAATGTGGATACCATTCCGTATGAAGAGGGCCTGAAAGCACTTGGAAACGGAGAAATCGATATGATGCCTCGGATTATTCACTCCTTGGAGTGGCGTTACTTCTACCGCAGTCACATTTTGTACAACATTAAAACATTTATCATGGTTCCTTGGCCCGAACCCTTGCCAAAGAGTCTGTACTTTATAAGACCCTTTGGTAATGCTGCTTGGTTAACTTTCTTGGTGAGCTTTATCTACGCCTCCATCGTCATCTGGTGGATAAGATATAGACAGAGGGAGAACTCTTCCTTATCTCGTTCTTTTTTGGATGTGCTGCAGCTGCTGTTTCAACTTCCCTTTAGCAAAAAGTGGCACTTCAACTTGGGATTACATCAGGTGCTCACCTTCATCGTCCTCTTCACCGTCGGTTTTATTCTGACAAATCTGTATACCGCTCAGCTATCCAGTTTTTTAACTACCGGTTTGTTCAAAAGACATATCAACACCTTTGAGGATCTATTCCGTGAAAAACGCACATTTTTGGTGGAAAGTTTTGACGCTGAAGTACTACACAACATGACCAAAGCCAATATTATCCAAAGAGAGTTTGAAAATATTACACTAGTTACCTCGATAAAGGAGGTTTTTAAACATCGCAAGAGCCTCAATACTACTTATGTTTATGAGGCCTACGAGGATCGCATTGCATTTGAGCTGCTACAGCAAAAGTATCTTCGAGTACCGATTTTCAAGACCTTAAAGGAGGTCTACGACCAACAGCCTGTTTTTGTGGCACTTCGTCACGGATTGCCTTATGTGGAGCTATTCAACGATTACCTTAAGCGAATCTGGGAGTCGGGCATTTGGGGTAAGCTGCAGAAGGAGTCACTTTTTGAAGGAATCGCCAGTGGAGAAATTAGTTTTCGGAAGTCAAAGTCCCGCGAAAAAAAGGTCTTTGATAAGGAATTTTATTTCTTCGCCTACATATTACTGGGAGTGGGATGGTTTGTCAGCACTATCGTTTTTATTTTAGAAAGGTTGAGAAAGTAAATCACAATTGGGTTACAAGGGCTTTAAAATGGATGATACTTATATAATTTGTAAAATAAAATCTTTACTACATCCAAAGAAAATAATAAAATAAAATAAATATCCAAGGAAAAAGGACTTAATGGTAACAAGTAATATTTATGAGAAATGGGTACGTCTATTTAATATTTGTAATTCCCCATAATTATAAAAATACTTATGTAACTTGAAATATCATATTTTAGAGCTTGTCACTGGATGACTTGTAACTTTTATGTGCTTTTCCTAATATACCTCTGGCTACCCATTAGATGTATTAAAAGTGGCATTACCACTTTGCATTATTTCAGGACCTGTAATTATATAATGATACCATTTACGGACTTGTGTGTAATATTGCCTATAAAAGAAGCACCGAACTGTGGTTTCTAGAGCCAGTTCGATGGATTTGCTTCACCTCAACACTCTTCAAAGTCTTTCACTGCTGGACGGAACTCGCTTGGGTCAAACAATTCAGGAGCTGAATACATTGTACCAAACGGAACTAAATGTGTTTTTGAACTTTGGAAATGGTTCTGATATCTTGGAAGCAGCACGGCAGCCTTTTGTACCCACTCTTTCGATCAAACGTTCAGAAAACCAAATGGTCCTGGAAGGAAATTTCAGTAGTTGCACCCTTACTGTTTTGTATCTGGAGGATGAGTATCTGTATCGTGATCTTAACTATCTTATGCAATGGCTTTGGAAATATCATCACCTTCAAGTGTTAATATTTTTAAAAGGAGGAACTTTTAAAAAAATAACTCAAGTATTCAGTTATTGCTTTAATAAAGGATTTTTCAATTTACTTGTAATGTTACCGGATTCGGAAGGAATCTACAGCTTTATGCCCTATCATGAATTGCGTATTTTGCACTTTAAAAGCGTCAAAGGAGTTTTATGATCACTCTCGTAAGAAAATCGATTTTAATGGATATAATATTACCAGTGGTCTTGTAACAGCGGGAGCTCCTCGTTGGTTTTCCTTCAGAGATCGTCATAACCGATTAATCCTATCGGGATATATGCTTCGGATTATTGTGGATTTTACAAATCATTTTAATGGAACCGTTCGCCTAAGGGATGTGGTAACTGTAAATGATGGCCTTCAACTTTTGGCCAATCGTTCTATAGACTTCTTTCCCTTTCTAATCAGACCGCTTGAAAAGTTCGCAATGACAAATATTCTTTATCTGGAGAACTGTGGGCTTATAGTACCCTCGTCAAGACCTTTACATAAATGGGTTTATTTGATCAAGCCCTATTCATTTAGCACCTGGATTACTTTGCTTATTATGCTGATATACTGCTCCTTGGCTTTTAAGATTTTAACCGGAGGACAAATAAGTCTCAGCGCCTCCTTTTTGAAAATTCTTCGATTGGTATTGTATCTCTCATGTGGCAGAGATATGGGAAAACGACCATCTCATCATCGTTTCGTACTCTTTATAATATTAATAGGCTCAGGATTTATATTCACCAATTTGTATCTGGCTCAACTTTCGAGTAACTTGGCTGCAGGACTCTACGAAAAACAAATAAACACTTGGGAAGATTTGGACGAAACTGATGGAATCTGGCCTTTGATAGACGTGGACATAACAACTATGGAAAAACTTATCCCCGATCGAAAGAAACTACTGAAACGCATAGTGCCCACATCTGAGGCAGATGTAGATATATATCGAAGGAATCTAAACACAAGTTGTATTCACTCAGGATTTTATGATCGCATTGAGTTTGCTCTGTACCAGCAGCAATTTTTAAGACATCCCATTTTTCGGAAATTTCCACACATTCTGTACCAGCAACCTCTTCAAATTTCAGCTGCATTCGAGCGTCCTTACTTGCAGTTATTCAATTGGTTTGTCAGAAAAATTTTCGAAAGTGGAATTTATCTAAAAATGAAGGACGATGCCTATCGACATGGAATTCAAAGCGGCTTATTGAATTTCGGTTTTCGTGATCGGCATTTGGAAGTGAAATCGAATGATGTGGAATATTATTACCCGATTGCTGTATTGTGGTTGGGTGGCTTGACTTTAGCCACCATAACCTTTCTCATTGAATTGCTTATGGGATCAACTAGAATTAATGTTACTATAGACTTTAGTACTAAAGATTGAATTTAATTTTTAAAATATTAAAAATAGTTCCTAAAAAATGCCAGAGAAAATTAAACTTTTAATTGTTCATACCTCAGTTCCTTTAAAAATTTAAATCAAATCGATTGTATACTATTTACATACTTAATAAACAACTGCAACCAATATTTAGCAAGTATCTATTGAATACCCAGTTTTGTGAGTGCAATTTCTGGTGTCATATTTTGTTGCTCAGTGGGGATGTAAAATAAACTTTAGTCGCAACCGTTTTCTTCCCATAACTCTCCACCCAACTGTAATTACAACGAAAATACGCTAAAATATTTTGCCGGCAAGGTGACGCCTCCCTTGCGGCCTCATTTGCATGCCCGTTGGCTGCACTTGTCGCGGCTCAAAATCCACTGCCCAAATGGCCAAATGGCAAGCTGGCAACCTGCAACTGGCAATTGGCAACCGGCCAAAGTTGCAACTGCCTCCGAAGGTGTCTTCGATTATTGCCAAACATTAATTATTTGCGCGCGATTTGGCGCCCGCCTCCTTTTTTGTGAAAGGCCTGGGCTAGTAGTTCAAATGTTTATTTTTCTGCTCTCCCCTGTGTATCTTTGATTGCTGCCTACACTGGGGAAATTTTTATAGTGAATAAGAAAGTGTTTTAAATTAAAAAAGCTTTTAAAGATTTTATTAATTGTCTAATTTGCATAGATAGTTTTTAATGCGCTTAAGTGTCTCCTAATATTTTAAATAATTATAAAAAAAAAAATTAAAAAATAAATATTAACTAAAAAATAATCCCGATATTGGAGGATATAAATACAATATTTATTATTTTTATATTAGCAAAATATTCAGATATTAACGTTTTCTGTGTGTAAAATCATCAGACACAGGCAGCAATTTTTGCGCAACGAATGTGAGACGAGGGACGGTCAGGTCGAATCTCCGCCGTCCTCTGTCCTCCAGCTTGGCTTATTTATTTTTGGCCAAAATTGCACATTTTCCCATGCTGCTGTTGCCGGTTGTTGTTCCTAGCCGATGTTGCCAGTTGTTGCCTGGCTATGTTGTTGTTGTCGCGTCTAATCAAGGAGCGGAGTTAAGAGTCGCTGCTTTGGTCGCCCCATTGCCATTTAGCCCGAAGCGGCTGCCTCAGCCAAAACGATGAATATTGATTTAATTGAAAGTCATTGAAGCACACGTACTTCTTAGACACGAGTTTCGTAGTACCCTATTAAGTGAGGGTATGATGTGATTAACAGGAGGTCTTGATTAAACTTAAATATATTCTCGTTTTTATTTATTCCGATTTTAAGAAATTTTACCAACTTGCTTAAATACTTTATTTTTCTAGAGGTATAACAATTTATTTTTATTTTAAAAATCTACATTAAAAAAAAATAGACATAAAAAAATGTTGTTTTACAAAATTATTGTTTGATTTTTTAATAATATCCGCAATTTTGAAAATATATATAATAATAATATTTAAACACACTAAAATGCATTACCTAAAAATTTAAAAATATATGCTTAGTTTACAATATAAGTAAAATTCATTTTTAATCTTATTGTATTATAATCAGCTATCATTTGTAATAGAGGTATCTATTAGTTCGAATATTGGTTATCTTATAGCTGCTGCAGCTTTCCATTTGGCGTGGCAGCGAACCGACCGCCGATCACAGCTTGTGCCCTCCCACATGCCAACATCTTCACACAAACAACAACAACAACAGCAAAGACACACACATTACACACACCCAAATGTGGAAAACCGACGCCCTGGCAAAAGTTTTCCCTGTATTTTTTGTTGTTGCTGGCACATTGACACAGTTTTCCATGGCAGATGTGCCCAAGCCCTGCTCCCCCCGCCCACCTCCTTGCCTCTTGAATTTCCCTCCGGCGACTCTGTCTCCCCATATTGGAATTTTGTCGACTTGTTTTTCTTTTTTTCCACTTCGGCATCGTCGTCGCTGGCGATGCTGCCAAATGTCAAAAGGTTAATACGTGAATTAACAGCAAATTTCTTTGACTTGTGTGTGACTGCAAGCTGCTAGTTGTAGCCGATGCCACACGGAAATAAATTTCTAGATATATGTATATTTTCTTTTTTAATATACATTATTATGGAAAATGAATTATTAAAAATTTATAGTTTAATATTTACTTTAATTGAAATAAATAATTAAAAGAATTTTATATAATTGTTTCCAGCTAAACTAATTGTATTTTATGGTTTAGCTATGCAAGTTTAAATATTTTAAAAGCTTTCCCCAAAAATAAAGTAGTGACCTTTTTTATAAAATATTTTTAAAAAATATTTTAGTTTAAAATAAGTCTTGAAAAATATGAATATTTAATTGTTAATTAAATTAAAAAAATTCTATGAAATTAACAATAAAATAAATTATTTTTTGCTGTTTAGTTGCTGTTACTAGTCGCTGTTTTTCATGCAGCTGCTGCTGCTGGCGCTTTCCTTGGAATGCGGGCGTTGCTGTGTTTGTTTATTTTCTTTTAGGCGGCTCCGCTTTTCTCGTGGGTTCCCCTAATGCATTTGGGACACCAGCATGTGGTCGGTATGGGTGATTTTCGTGTGGTGGCTTTACAACATATTACATTAAAATGCTTCTTTTTGTTGTCCATTCTTTTAAAGCTTTTCGCCTTCTATGCCAATAAATCAATGGGAGTTTCGGTGGGCCGAATTCCGATCATTTTCCCAGGGTTAAGTTAAGTGCGGGATTACCCAAGAAAATATCAAGCATTTTTAAGTTTCCCACATGAGGAAATTCTTTTCTAGAATTTTCAGCTTAATTTTATATGTTAGAGATTAGAAAATAAACCCTTTGGGGAATTAAAATGAAATAGCACAAAAGTGGTATTAAGGCAAAAAGTTTCAGAAAAATGTATTATTATTATTCTGGAATATATTGGCACGTCGCTTTGACTTCTTTAATATTTAAGTTCTGAAATTTTTATATATCTTAAGATCCTTTCGCAGGATATTGAATATTACAAAGCCTAAAGCTTAAAAATTTCCAGGACTATTATTTTTCCTACCCCAAAAGCTGTTTTGTATAACGGTTATCCTTGCAATTAGCACGTACATCAACCTGTATCCTGAAGGACATTTTCCGCAGTTCAGCACATCCCCTCTAGGTGGCGCCAACAAATACTTCCCTCCCGCAACTGCATTTCAATTATACAAATTTTTCAATTACTTACAAAAATTCCATTTGGCACGCTCGATTGCCTTTTTCACCAGATGCCATGAGTAACCCACATAGATGGCGATTAAGCGGACAGAGAGAAAGATATGCAAGCCAGAACCGAACCGAACCGAAATAGAGTCGTATGTCTATGCAAATTTTTTGCGCAGTGGCAAGTGCATAATTTTTATTATTATTATTTCTCAGGCGCTTTGGTATCTATGGCGCTATGCTAAGAGTGCCAATCTAGAGTAGATCAAAAAGCGCAAAGCCTACGGAGCAGCGAGTGCCGGCCCACTTGGCGACTGCCCACTTGGGTTTTCCAGCTCAATTCAATTCATTAACCGAGCTCTGGCGGCGATTAAATCGCTCAGCCCATACTATGTATATCTATATTATTTGAGCACATATATATTTATTTTTATTCATTTTTTAATGGAGCCGGCCGCATAATCTCCTGCCAATTTATTGGTATTTTCATGTGAATT